ATGAACTGATCAAATTACATTTTTATAAAAGTAGCACTTAACTGCCGGGTTTTATCGAACAAATGGCTTTAAGACGGGCTGAAATACCCAAAGGGTAATCCAAATTTAGACCTTTACCATTATTAGGTTCTCAAAGAACAGACAAGTGAAGAAAAAAGAGTTTATTTTCGGCATCGATTCTTCAAAACGGAATATATCATCGATTTCTTCAAAAAGAAAGTGTCATTTTTCTTGCCGAGTTCGTCTTTTAATTGAATCGTCTGCTTGTTTGAAATGATGAAAGAGGAACATCTCGGGAAAGAAAGTTCTGTTCTGGTGAAAGTTATATTAACAGCTCGTCTTGCGACACAGGAGAAAAATGGCGCCTGAAGTTGTAAGATTCCATGGGTAGCTTCCCTTTCCAAGAAAAAAGAGGTGCGATAAAGTCGACAAAAACAAAACACATCCATATTTGGTGAAATCTTTAAAACATAAGATTTTTTTTTGTTTTTTTTTTTAATCGGATTAACCCGAAGGCATTAAATCCGTGAAAACTCAAGCGCAAACTGGGTGTGGTGGAATTAGAAAACAAAGACATTATTAAAGAGTGAGAAAAATAGAAGAGTAATCAGGAAGACAGTAGATAACGATTAACATTTCATTTGAATTTTTGAAGATCAAAGTTGGTTGGAAACCATGAAACGAGAGTTCCACAAGCGAAAATTGAGGGAGAAAAATAGAACGGTAATCAGGAAGACAGTAGATAACGATTGATATTTCTGAATTTTGTAAAGTCAAAGTCGATTGGAAACCAGGAAACCGAAAAAGAGTTCCAAAAGCGAAAGTTATGGGAGAAAAACAGAAGAGTAATCTGGAAGACAGTAGATAACGATTGATATTTCATTTGAATTTTTGAAGATCAAAGTTGGTTGGAAACCATGAAGACTGTAAAGATTTCCACAAGCGAAAATTGAGGGAGAAAAATAGAACAGTAATCAGGAAGACGGTAGAGAGTGATTGACATTGCATTTAAATTTTTGAAGATTAACGTTGACTGGAAAGCATGGAGCCTAAAGAGATTTCCACAAGCGAGAAGAATGAATAAAGAAACTGTTAGCATAGAACTTACGGTTCCATCTAAGAAATTCAACTTTAAATTGATGATATCTTCCTGCCAATCTAGTACCGCGTTTAATTTTCATAAATTTTACGTAGCATATCGAAGAACTTATCCGAAAAATTACCATGAATGTACTTATAGAAAAGACACAAACAAGCAACTTTACGGCACTAGGTAAGTGACGGGAGCGGAGACGCCAGATCAGGACCAATTCTTTCTTTAGAATTTTAAAAACTTTGAGCCATTTTGTTACCCCCATTTTAGAATGAGGTTTAGTTCAATTCCCCAAATTGTGCACACATGTATTCTTCTTTCTCGCGTTCGTTCTTAACTGTGGTTCTTTCTGAAAATATCAGTGACAGACCACACACCAAGTCAAGCTGAACAAATATGATTTCAATAGTGTCAACCGTTAGGGGTCGTTTACTAGCAGCAGTTAAACATATATGCTTTATGACATAGATGTGCACGTCTCTACCTACCAGATAATTCTCCCTTGGGTCATCTGGGACTACTACTACTGTACTGATGCGGCATTCACCCTGGGCGGATTGAGCCGGCTTCTTCCTGTTATGAGAAGAAGATTCTTGGGATAAATTACAGAAGTAGGGTACCCAGGCCTACTCGGATAACGTTCTTGCTTGCCGCGGGGTTCCCACAGACGCAGAGACAGGAACGACCAGAAGCCGCCGGTTACCGATGCAGACGCACCTTGGATTTTCACCAGAGCCCTTGTTAGCCGGCGTGTGTGTCAGACCTGTCCGCCTTGGGTGGCCCTACCAGGAACGAAGTTCTGGGCGGCATAGCTCTGACACTACCGTTTACACCCCACCACCGACTGTGAGGTAAGGGTTGGACTTTGGGGGCTTACAGTACCAGGTGTTCCCAAGCGGTCCCCCATCTAAGTACTGACCTGGCTCTACGGTGTTTTCAGCGTGATTTGACCGTAAGCTGGTCATCTGGGACAGTGCTGCTCAAATAAATTATCTGATATGGCGTAGTAGCTGTTTTTTTTTAATGTGTCAGGGATCAGCGGGCAAAATTTTCCAATCCAAAATGGTGTAGAGGCACTTTTTGTGGGGGGCGATACATCCTGTTTCAGGGTCATTTTGAAACTAACTGTACGAAACATGAGTACATGATTTTTTATTCATTCTAAGGCCACACATCATTGACGTAACACTGAGCCAGGGACCGGGACTATATTTGTACTACTTCTACAGATACTACCCACTCGCTACGCATGCGCCTGTGTTGTTACAGACTTACAATAAAAACAGAAAATATGCTAGGCAGCTAGATTATGAATCTAAGGAATTAAATGCTAATTTTAAAAAATGTTGGCGCCAAACCACGTGGATATTCCTTTTAACCACAGTCAGGCGAATTTATTTCTTACCAACAGCAAGTGAAAACCATATATGAAAAATTTTGGCACCTTTCGAATAATGGTGTGTATATTGCATAAATGGATGAGTACTCGCTGTTGAAATTTTAATCTTTGTTCATTTCTTTTGCAGACACTGTGCCATGTGTCCTTGAGGACATCAGGTTTGAATTTATGGGTATTATAAACGTAATTTCTTCAGCAACCATTTTTACCAGTGATCATATTGCAATTTTATCATTTTATGTTTTTATCAGAGCTCATATTGTAACTTTGTTGTTATCATTGCTTTTCTCTGGCACTCCTTATTACTGGTTCCCATATTGTATTTATTTCTATGCTTGGTCGGCTCAGGAGATTTTTGTGGCCACATGGCACAGTGGATAAAGGCGTTGGTTAGACCCAGTGACAGGAGCCAAAGAGTGTGAGTTCAATACCCGGTTAAGGCAGTGGAGAATTTTCAGAGGGAAAATTAACAGGAGATAACTGTTAACTGAAATCCATCAAACATGGCACGTGCAACTAGAACAGTCTACCCCAGTGAGCGAGATAAACGGTTCAGTTCGACATTCCAACCACCTGAAGAAGGCCGGAGCGTACAACAGCCGAAACGTTGTAATAAATATGGCAACAAAGATGAGGAAAATAGTCCGAATAATGTAAATAGTGTACATAATACCTCATCTCAGAAATATAGACAGATATTGAAGGGCCGAAACGTTGTGATAAATATGGCAACAAAGATGAGGACATTAGTCCGAATAATGTAAATAATATACATAATACCTCATCTCAGAAATATAGACAGATACTGAAAGGCCGAAACGTTGTGATAAATATGGCAGCAAAGAAGAGGACATTAGTCCGAATAATGTAAATAGTGTACATAATACCTCATCTCAGAAATATAGACAGATACTGAAGGGCCGAAACGTTGTAATAAATATGGCTACAAAGATGAGGACAATAATCCGAATAATGTAAATAACGTACACAATACCTCATCTCAGAAACATAGATAAAATTTTGAAATCATTTTTTTAGCGGAAATTTAGTATTTCTGTGCAGTTTTTGAGACGTTATTTAAACTTAAATTCTCAAAAATTAGTGAACGTTTTTTGTGTCATTATTGATCAAATCAAACGTCAGCTTTTTCTTATCGAGTGCATTACTGATTTCCCAAAGAAAATACAGACACCAACCTGCCCCATGTTTTAAAACTAAAGATCGTTTTTGTTCAGTCACATGCTGACAACGCCTAACAATGGAATCACAGACATCAATAAATATTTTGTTCGTTATTTGTGTGCATTTTCGTTCAATAACTGCCCTCAGTTCGTCGACTTTTGCCTGTTTTGGACAAGAAACTTTTTCTTTTAAGTAACTCCATAAAACGTTTAGTGGTGTTAAGTCAGCTGCGTGTGCAAAATACTTTACTGACCCCGTTCTTTCAACCCTCCTGTCTGATAAAATAACATTATTTTCTTTAAGAATTTCAACCCAAGAAAGGCGCGAGTGTTACTAGCACGCAGGGGTTTACAGAGAATGAATGTGACACACAAGACTGGGTGTAGCAGGAATTGAGGACAAAGATAAAAGATGAACGGAGATCAAGCCAACAGAAGATGGCGATTGAAGTTGCATTTAAAATTTTTGGAGATTGTAGTTATCAGGGAAGCAAGTAAGAGGAAGGGAGTTTCCCTGTCGGGAAGCGTGAGATAAGAAACTGTTGAAGTAGAAATTTAGCCTCTTATATAATGATGGCATTAACCATCAACTGAAAGAAAAGACAGAAATTATGGTCATCAGAATGAGGAAAGGCCCGAGATGCGAGTGACGAATTGGAGATATAAGCATCAAGCAGCTGCAGAAGTTTGAATATCTTGGAAGCTTTTTAAGAGAGGACTCGACTTGCAGAAGAAGCATTCCTAAATCCTAAGCAAGAAACAGAAAGATTTTGTTAGAAACAAAGCAAAGATTGCCGGGTTACTATGTGATAGCCATTCAGTTATATGCCACTGAATGTTGGACAATCTTCCCACGGATGCAGAAAAAAAAAACTAGCGGCAGTAGAACTGTCGTTCTAGAGAAGAATATTGTAAATTCTATGGACCGAGCGGGTCAGAAACAAAGATGTCTTGAAGAAAATGACAACAGAATATGAGTGTTCCCCTTCATACTCAGAATGACGACAAGGCAGTTAAAATTCCTTGGAAGTAGGGTTTGGAAACGTTAACCATGACTTGGCGTATTGCGGGTTTGAGAAACAGAGGAAGGCGAGCTTATGTGAATGGATAGTGGAACAATGCGCGGGGCCTTAGCAAAGAAAGAAAAATCGGTAAGAACCACATGAGATAGGAAGTTGCAGAGATTCATGTCTTGAAAGGACGTGGCGCATAGAAACAAAAGTGTTGAGATGTGCCATCGAAAACTTATCTTCCTGAAAGTACTCGGGAATACGTGGTATCAATTCGTCGCAAGGAAACTGAACAAGTGATGAAGTGTCAAAAAAGAATGGTGCCATTAGTCCATTTCTTTCTTTCCTTTTTTTTTAATTTTCTTGGCTATTTCCTTCTTTTTCGTTTCCTTAGTTTTCTCTTTCTTTCTTTCTTTCATTTCATAGCTTCTTTTTCTTTCTTTCTTCATTCTTTTCTTTCTTTTAGGGTTTCTTTTCTTTCTTTCTTTCTTTCTTTCTTTTTTTTTTATTTCATTGGTTACCTTTTCCTTTCTTCCTCTCGTTTTAATTTCCTTTTTTCCTTTTTTTTTTCCTTTTTTTATTTCCATTTCTTTTTTTTTTTTTTAATTTCCTTTCCTTTTTCTTTTTCTTTTTCTTTTTTTTATTTTTTCACCTTTTCCTTCCTTTTTCGTTTTATTTCTTTCTTTCTTTCTTTCTTTCTTTCTTTCTTTCTTTCTTTATCCATCCATTCAGCCACTATTTATTTTTTCTTCTTTTCTTTCCGAATGTTAATATTCTTCATACATTTTCTTTTTTACTTTTTTCATTCATTTTGTTTCTGTTTTTTTTTCTTTCTTCAGTTCTTCATTTATTTCCTTTTCAATTCATTCTTTTTTTTTCTTTCTTTCTTTCTTTCTTTCTTTTCTTTTCTTCCCATCTTCATTTGCTTTCTTTTCTTTTTTGTACATATTTTCTTTCTTTTTTCATTTCTTTTTTTCTATTATTCTTTCTTTTCCTTTTTCTCGTTTCATATATCTTTTTCTATTCCTTTTATCTAATTTCTTCCTTTCTTTTCATTTCACAAATTTTTTTTTCTTTCCTTTATTTTTCATCATTGATTTTTTTTTTCTTTTCTTTTTTCATTCTTTTCATGTATTTTCTTTTTTTTTCTTTTTTTCATTTCTTGAATTTCTTTTTTTTCTTTTTCTCAATCAGATTTTCCTTAAAGACTTTTTTCTTTTCATTTTCATTTTAACGTTTCTTATTTTGTTATTCTTTCTTTCTTTTATTTTAGGAGACTTTCTTTTTTTTTCCAGACTTTGAGAAACAGAAAGAAAAAAAAGATTTCATTGTTTTCTCTTTTCTTTTTTCTTTTTTCTTTCTTTCTTTCTTTTGAATTTTTTCTTTCTTTCTTTCCCAGACAGACATTTCTTTCTTTTGATTAGAAAATGTTTCCTATTTCTTCTTTCTTGTTTCTTTCTTTCTTCTTGTATTTTCCTTGATTTCTTTTCTTTCTTTTCTTTTTCATTTAAAATTTATTTCAAAAATATAACTTTCTTTTTTTCATTCCTTTTCTTTCTTTTCGCAAGAGATTTCTTTTCTTTCTTTCTTTATTCAGATTTCTTTGTAATTTCTTGGTTTTCTTTTCTTTCCATTTCTTTGTTTTCCAGAAACTTTCTTTTAAATTTATGAATCTTTCTTTTTAATTTCATTTCTTTTATTTCTTCTTATATATATATATATATATATATATTTCTTTCTTAGAGAGATTTCCTTGGTTTCTTAACATGTAATTGTTTTCTAGAGCTTTCATATATTTCTTTCTTTTTTTCATTTATATTCTATTTCTTTCTTTCTTTGGAGATTTTCGTGTTTTAGTTTTCTATTTCTTTCTTTCTTTCTTTTTCATTTCTATTTCTTTCTTTCTTTTTCTTTCTTTCTTTTTGATTTCCTGTTTCCTCTTTCTTTCTTTCTTTCTTTCTTTCCTTTATCCATCCAGAGCAATTTATTTTTTTCTTCTTTTTCTTTCCGAATGTTAATATTCTTCATACATTTTTTCATTCATTTGTTTCTGTTTTTTTCATTCCATTTTTCAATTCAATCCTTCTCTCTTTCTTTTGCCTCCCATCTTCATTTGCGGCCTTTTTGTAAATTCACTTTTCTTTATTTTTCTTAATTTGCCACTGAATCCTTTAATTTCTTCACCATTTTTCCTCCTTATTTTCTTTTTCAAAAGCCAAACATGAGCAATCCATCTTGAACGTCTGCTTTTCAATCACACACTAAAAGACACATTGATAACGTCTCACCATTTTATATATATATAATATATATATATATAGATAGTTTGAAGAAAGGTGAGTTGAATAACAGAATAATACCCAGACAGACAATGCATGATTAGAAAATGTCTATATCTGTTAGAGAAATTTATAAAAATGGGATCTTTAAAAATTCCAAAAAAATAAAATTAAGAATTGGACAGTCCGACAATTTAAAGTTTAAAGATAGGTTTTTATGTTTAACATATATTTTTTATAGATATATATATTTAATATAAATGAGAGTTTATAATAAAGAGTGTTAAATAACATGCAATTTGAATAGGCCTGAATGTAATGAGAAATTTACAAGAATCGTCGTGTTTTGTACTCAGGGTTTCGAACCTGAATCGTATACGTAACAGTCAACTTCAAACTTCCATGATCTAATATGTACATTCATAACTGCTTATGCGTATCTTTTGTAAATCAAAATGACGCCACTGAATCAATTAATTGGACAATCCCTTTTGTTAAGCTGGGAGAGTAATTATACATTCTTATTGCTCTAACTAGAGTCCAATAGATTCATATAAAACACCCAGAGAATCCAGTAAGATATCTTTAATCATTAACAAAGATACAACGGTTCAAAGCTGTTTTAATCTGACAAATGGACAATTTTGAAATTTTTAAACGATTTGGACAATTTTGCTGTTACCCACGGTACACACACACGCATAACACACACACACAAACACACACATATATATATATATATATATATATATATATTAACATACAACGTGTGTTAGCACGTGCAATACCCTGTCTTCATCAACCGCCGACCAGGAGTGATGTCACAGTTTCGGTGGCTATGGCAGGACCGCCATCCCTGGCGCCACCAGCAGCGTTTGCCACCAGGCAGGGTATGAAGATAAGTAATTGATCGTTCCTTTTTGTAAATTTATCCGTAATGAAATTTTCCTGAACGCGTTTGCCGTTATTGAGGCGGTCGTAAATATATATATATATATATATATATATAATTTTGTATTTGGACAACAATCCTTCTTATATACAAGTTTCGTTAAAACGAGTGACAAGGTACTGCCGTTAAGGTTTTGTTTATTTTATTTTCTAGACATAAATTATGTTGAAACTCTCTGAATGTTTTAATGTGGTTTCGGCTGTACTTTTAGCCATTGTCAAGGATGATTTTATTTTTACTTTTTACTGAATGGCTTTTCTTATGTATGTATCTATAGTTATACGAATGTTTTATTTTCCAAGGACGCTCAGCAAATTGCCGAAAGTATTCGGACATGCGCAACATTCGAATAATTTCTACATACATCTAGAATATAATAAAAGAAAACGTAAGAAAAATTAAATAAAACAATAACAGCAAAGAGAGAGACAGAAATAGAGAGAGAGAGAGAGAGGGAAATAGAGAGAGAAATTTAGAGAAAGAGAGAGAGAAAGAGAGAGAGACAGAGAGAGAGAAAGACAGAGAAAGATAGAGAAAGATAGCGTGAAAGAAAGAGAGAGAAAGAGAATGAAATTAGAGAAAGCAAGAGAGCGAAAGAGAGGGAGAAATTTAGAGAAAGATTGAGAGAGAGAGAAAAAGAGAGAAAGAGAGAGAAAGATAGAGAAAGATAGCGTGAAAGAAAGAGAGAGAAAGAGAAGAAGATGGAGAGAAGGAGGGAGAGAAAGAGAGAGAAATTAAAGTAAGCAAGAGAGCGAAAGACGAGAGAGAAAGAGAAAAAGAGAGAAAGAGCGGGAGAAATTTAGAGAAAGAGAGGGAGAAATAGAGAGAGAATTATAGAGAAAGATAGCGAGAGAAGAAGAGAGAGAAAGCTAGAGAAGGAGAGATAGAGAAAGAGAGAAATTTAGAGAAAGAGAGGCAAAAGGTGAGAGAGAATGATAGAGAAAGATTGAGAGAAATAGAGAGAGAAAGAGAAAAGAGAAAGAGAGAGGAGGAGAGGGAAGGAGAAAGAGAGGGATAAATTTAGAGAAAGAGAGGGAGAAATACAGAGAGAAAGAGAGAGAGAGAAAAAGAGAGACAAAGAGAAGAATATAGAGAGAAAGCGAGAGAAGGAGAGAGAGAAAGAGAGGGAGAAAGAGAGAGAAAAAGAGAGAGAAATTTAGAGAAAGAGTGGCAGAAAGAGAGAGAGAAAGAGAGAGAGAAATTTAGAGAAAGAGTGGCAGAAAGAGAGAGAGAAAGAGAGAGAGAAAGAGAAAAAGAGAAAGGGAGAGGAGGAAAAGGAAAGAGAGAGAGAGAAAGAGAGGGAGAAATTTAAAGAAAGAGAGGGAGAAATAGAGAGAGAAAGATAGAGACAGATAGCGAGAAAGCGAGATAAGGAGAGTTAAAGAGAGAGAAAGAGAGAGAGAGAAAGAAAGAGAGGCAGAAAGAGAGAGAAAGATAGAGAAAGATTGAGAGAAAGATAGAGAGAAAGAGAAACGGAGAGGAGGAGGATGGAATGTGAGTGAGAGAGAGAGAGAGAGGGAGAAATTTAGAGAAGGAGGGAGAGAAATAGAGAGAGAAAGATAGAGACAGCGAGAAAGAGAGAGAGAAAGAGAGAGAGAGAGAAAGCTAGAGAAGGAGAGCCAGAAGGAGAGAGGCAGAAAGAGAGAGAGAAAGAGAGGCAGAAAGAGAGAGAGAAAGATTGAGAAAGATTGAGAGAAAGAGAGAGAGAAAGAGAAAAAGAGAAAGGGAGAGGAGGAGAGGGAAGGAGAGAGTAAAAGAAAGAGAGAAAGAAAGAGAGAAAGGAGAGAGAGCTAAATACAGATAGATAGATAGAGAGAGAGAGAGAGAGAGAGCTACTTATCTTTTACGCTCTCGCGGTTATCAGCTGATCAGCACGCTCTGGCCGCCTGACATCATTCTGTACGTCTCACTGTAAGTGGCGTTCACAGATAAAGACATGGCTCAGTTATTTCTGATTCCTGTTTCTAAATTACTGATTTTGAGAGACAAACTAGTCTGATAAAATGCAGAACCTTTTTTTTCAGGTGTGTCTAAAAGAAAAATATTAGGTTTCAGCGTCCTTTACAGTAGATAACAGGATTTGTCTTTAACTCAGATGCGTCTGAATTCATCACGGAGGTACGGTTTACAAGAGAGCTTTCAATTCAGTACAATCTGTTTTTTATATTTTAAATGTCATTTTTTTTCTTTTGGAGTGAAGTCTTCGTGATGTCAGACAAAAATATTTAGTTGATAAGCGTGTGAAAATGTCCGTCGCAAAGAACTAGATGACCTTCTAGGCATGGCTGATTTATTTGAGAAGGATATGGATTGGGTAAATACACAAAAATAGAGGAAGATGAGACAGTAAGAGAGGCAGAAAGATAGAGAAAGTGAGAGAGAGAGGGAGAAAGAGAGGCAGGAAGAGAGACAGAAAGAGAGAAATAGAGAGAAAGAGAGAGAGAAAAAATTAGAGAAAGAGAGAGAGAAATTTAGAGAAAGAGAGAGAGAGAAATTTAGAGAAAGTTGAGAGAGAAAGAGAGACGGAAAGATACAGAAAGAGAAGAAAGAAACAGAGAGAGACAGAGAGAGAGAGAGAGAAAGAGAGATAAAGTTAGAGAAAGAGAGAGAGAGCAAGAGAGAGAAGGAGAGATAGGAAGAGAGAGAAAAAGAAAGAGAAAGGGAGAAAGCTACTTAACATTCACGATTATCAACTGATCAGGTTGATAATTCTCTCTCTCTCTCTCTCTATTTCTGTCTCTCTTTCTGTTTTTTTTCTGCCTTTCTTTCTCTAATTTTGTCATGGTCAGAATTTGTAATTCCGTCATGGTTCACGTGCGGGTCAAAAACTTATAACGTCGATAAGACGATGAACTACATCCGCATCCTGGGTAAGACGATAAACTACGTCCGTGTCCTGGGTAAGACGATAAACTACGTCCGTGTCCTGGATAAGACGATAAACTACGTCTGCGTCCTGGGTAAGAAGATAAACTACGTCCGTGTCCTGGGTATGACGATAAACTACGTCCGTGTCCTGGGTAAGACGATAAACTATGTCCGTGTCCTGGGTAAGACGATAAACTACATCCGCTTCCTGGGTAAGACGATAAACTGCATCCGCGTCCTGGGTAAGACGATAAACTACATCCGCTTCCTGGGTAAGACGATAAACTACATCCGCGTCCTTGGTAAGACGATAAACTACATCCGCTTCCTGGGTAAGACGATAAACTGCATGCGCTTCCTGGGTAAGACGATAAACTACGTCCAACAGCAAGGCCTCTGATCAGGAGATTTTGTTCCCAGGTCCACATTGACACGAGGTGGTAGCATCTGTTATGGTCACATCTATGGACTAATAGTTAACCCCTAAACAGGGGTGAAAACACTATGAAAGTGTAAAAATAGTTTTTAATACCAGAAATACTTTGTACAAAAAATTATTACCAGCAATCTATTTTTGAAAAAAAAAGATATTAACAGCTACATTTTCTCTCTGTTTGTTTGTTTTTTGTTTTGTTTGGGGGGGTAATTCTTTCTTTCTCATTCCCTTTTTCTCTCATATGGGCAAGACGATAAACTTCATCCGGCAGCAAGGCCTCTGATCAAGAGGATTTGAGGAGCGTGGAACTACCTCTTAATTGCTAGAGATTACAGGTTCACCCTAACCCGGGGTGGTAACACCTGTTAGGGTCCCAGCTATGGGTAAATATTTAACCACCAAACTGGGGTCAAACACTATAAAAGTGTAAAAATAGGTTTTAATACCAGCAATACCTTTTTTGTAAAAATATTACTAGCAATGGATTTTTTGAAGGAAAAATATTACCAGCAATACATTTGTGAAAAAAAAAAAATACCAGCAATACATTTTTGAGGCAAAACATATTACCAACGATACATTTTTGAAAAGATATTACTAGCAATAAATACCTTTCGGCA